GGAACGGGCCCTCCACACTTCGAGGCCTCCGTCGGCGGGTTAACCTCGCCGCCCTACGGCTTCACACCTGGTGTCGGGCCCTGTGGTGGGGGGAGAGAGTATCTCGCATGTGGACACTCCTGTGCTGGAAGTGATGCCTGGGATTTTATGGTGGCTAGGAAGATGATGAAACTTTTGTTACATTTGCCTGGAGTCGCGAAGATACAACTCTTAGTTTGTTTACTTCTTTCAGATGTTTTGGTTTTTTGAGGGAAGCAGTCTACTCAGTTTTGTTTTTGCTGATTCCCTTGAGCTTGTGTTCTCTTTCCAGTGCTGTGGGAAAAATTAAGCTGGGGAGGTGAAAAAAAGTATGACAATTGAAACTTAAAAATGTTACTATTTATATTATAGTTTGTAAAGACCTTTGTTTACAAAATGAACTGGTGAGTTTGATAGTGACCCTTTTAAGTGTTGGGTATCTGCCTTGTTATGTGCAAGGTATTGAGGGTGCTGAAGAAATTATGCAATATAACCAGGAAAAAATCCTAGCAGTTATTTACATGTTTTGACAATATCTGCATATTCATTAACAAAAAGGTAAGGAATCATATCCTACGGTTTATTTTGCAAGTTCATCTGTTCAACCTTGGTCACCACATGGTTATGTCTCGCAATTCTACCCTGATAACACACTCCCCTTAAAATGTGTCATTATCAGAAACAATTCTAATGTCTGTCAACTTAAGACTGCCAAAAGGATAGCTTGTTTTTCAACGTGTTTTTAATGATTTCAAAAGTTCTTAACTTCATCAGTACAGCTGACCCCGCTTGAAATTTTTCTCCCTACAGCAGAGCTGGTGGATTGAGACGTTTGCCCTGGTTTAGCCACTCGTGTACAAAGTAGCATTTTAGTTTAAACTCATTTGTATTAGCTGTTCAATCTAAGCCACTGGACTTTGCACTGAAATAGGTCTAGTATGGGTTTGTGTTCTCTTGGTTCCTCTGGGGAAGAATAAAGGTGAATAGGCAGTTATTCTGGGGAGGAAAGTAACAAACAGGAGGTAGCATCTTAAATTGCTGTAGGTGTTTGCTAAGAAAATTTAAGTTGTTGCCCATTGTCAATTATGGCAAATCATGTATATAAAGAGAATACATTATACGTGAGGACATGGATATTTTGTCTTCAGCTTCTTCGCTGCCATAACAATGTAAGAACCAATGTATTAAAGATAATTACTGGTTCTAGGAAATCTTACCTTAGTCTTTGTGTTTGTTTTCAAGTGTCTGGCCTGTGCCTTACTCGGATACATTCTGAATAGCCAGGATAAATACTTCTTTTTGAACATTGACTTGTATTTCCATGAGAAAAAAATGTGTAACTTTAATGTTGCTACCAGTTACAGGGAATTACTGGTTTATAGAATATGCATTAGTTACCAACTAATGCTTGTAAGCTGAGTATTAGAAACAGTAGAAAATTGCAACTATTGTCAGGAGTTTTCACATTCTTATAGAACAACTTGCTGCAGCCCACATGCAGCATTTTGTAAGGACGTAAATACAGTATGTATCGATGTGTTTCAGTTAAATGGATGCTTTTAAAATTGTCTTCCAATGGTCTGAGTTAAAGAAGCTCTTCTGCCCTGCTAGTCAATGGCGTATTTGTTACCTTCAACCGTTTATGGCTTTGTTTTCTAAAACTGGAGTTCAGTTAATTTTAATCTGGAACTCTGTGCTGAAGAATATGACTATGTTAAGTTAGCATTTTAATAGATTACTTATCCTTTTTCCCACTTCTACCAGTCTGTTGTTGTCCATGTTCTCTATCCAGCCTTTTTGTGGTGCAGGGAGTTAAAACGGGTGCATGCTCGGTTCCTGTGTTCCAGTTGAAAAGCAGCAGGTTCTTAAAGTGTGCTTTGTGGCCTAGGTGGTCTAGCATTAGGTCACAAAATTGCAAGCACTTCTAAAAAGGCTGTGCTTAAACTGTGTGTCTCTCAGCTTCCTCATCTGTTTTGTGAATGAAGATGCCTCTTAAAGAGTATGGTGATCCCGCTGAAAGTTTAAAAGGCATTGTGAAATGCTGTGAATAGCTACCTATTGAAGTAATGTAAAAGGTGATTAAGGTTATGCTAGTGGTATTAGAAATTAAGAATGAGAGCAAGAAGAGATAATCAAACCCTTGGACTTCTTGCAATGAGTAATGTAAGTCCCACTGGTTTCAATGGAAGTGGAACAAATGTGGCTGGTCAATTACAGACTCCTAAAGGAAAAGCTCACAAGAAGGGCTAGGCTGTGAAGTGTCGGAATGGCCCTCCGTTTTTATTTCTTTCTTGTAGGGACAGAATATTAATTAAAAGAGCATAGGATGTAAGTTTGGCATTGAATTAATGGGATTCATTGAAAGTTGCAGAGGTAGAAGAAAAATGACCTGTGCTTATTTTTTCTTTATAAAACTGCACACTTGAGTTACTCTACTTTCCTGATCAGTTGCATGCTTAGCTTTTTTCCTTTCATGTTTGCAGAGTGCATGTGAATTTCCATCAGATAAATAGAATATTTTAAAGTATTTTTCTCCCTTTCATTCCCATGCAGCTCAGGACAAAAGGAAAGAGGAACATACTAAAATGTCACCTGAAGTTGCCTTGAACAGAATTTCTCCAGCGCTCTCACCCTTCATTTCCAGTGTGGTCAGAAATGGAAAAGTAGGACTGGATGCTACTAATTGTTTACGGATTACAGACTTGAAATCTGGGTGAGTTCCTAATCCATAAAGAATGTTTGACCCCTTACAGATAAGATGTATTTTCAGGGCTAAATTTTACTAGTTTCATCTGTATTTAAGTATTTCCAGTATATCTGGAGCTGACGTACTAGCTAGATTATTTTTTGTTTTACTACCGTTCTGTAGTTGGGAGACTTAATTTGTCATATTGTTGGCAATAATAATCTTGTTAAAACACTTTCATCTCTGCCACTTGATACTGCTGGTTTTCAGCAGTGAGAGAGTTGTAAATGCTTTATCCTGTTGATCACTTGCCTACTGGATTTTTTCTCTAGATTAAAAACTTGAACATATATTTGTGTGACCTTACCTGTAGCCATGAATATGCTAAGTAAGAAAAAAAATTACCTGTTCCTCTATTTGACCTCCTTCAAGATCAGTACATCAAATGGCTGTAGGACCAAGTGTTTGAAATAGTCCAAGATACTCCTTTTATTTTTCATTGAAGGGTTCAGAATAGTTTTCAGATAGTAATACAGTTTGGGCTCCACATGTACAACGGGACTCTGGTGTGTAACCTCTGTGAATAATACACAGAGTAGGAAAAGGAAATGTGAAAAATAGAGTTTACTTTAGGCAATGTACAGAGAGGGGAGACTCCCCACATGGCTGATAAAAGAATACTTAAGATGAGACATGTCAGAAATTGCTTTATTTTTTGAGTTGGGCATCTAACAGCATCCCCGATTCAGTTATTTGTGGGATACTGGGGTTCAAAGCCTGAAATTACTTTAGCTTAAGGTGTCTAAATAACCACTTTTGTACAAACTAATGATTTGTGTATAATTTTGAATGATAGTATAAACCAATAGATCTTGAGAACCATCACTAATCACTGTTGTTTAAAATTAAGTTCTGCTGAAATCTTTGTTTAATATCCTTCTGTAGGCTGCTTTATCATGTTTTCTTGGAGAGTTTGGGGGGTACTTGGCTGGCAGTTTAAATGCCTTTTCAGGAAGGAGGTGTGACTGAGAGGGATAGTTTGAAAGGAGCCATTCTCTCCCTGTAAGGTGCAGTTGTCAGTACAGATTTCCTTGGAGATCTAAGAAGCTATAACTTTGTTATTAGTGTTGTCTGGCTTGGCATTTCGGCTTGCAGGTTATGTGAGACAGTCTGAACACATTTGCTGCTATCGTTTCACGCTAGATCTTGCTTTTCTCTTGACCTATAGTCTTCTAGGAAGGCTGAGATGGGAGCTATCTTAAATTTCTCCTGTTGAATCTGAGAGAAGTGAATACAAAAAAAGATAAAAAGAACACGTAGCTATAGCTATATAAAAGCTGCCCTCAACTGGGCCTGCCATCCGAAACCAGTGATTTAAATTGTGTAGTAACTGTGTTGAACATGCAGTCTACAACACAAATACAGTCCCGTATCTTGTCTAAAGGCATAGGCTCAGCTATATGCAAGTTCTAGCAATGTGTAGCTTTTTTTTTAGTGGAACATAGAGATGAACCTCATTCTTTATGTTGAGGCTTTTTTATGGCTTGAATGTTTTAGGAGGTGGAGTTGGGATAATAAAAAATCTGTAGTCGGGAAGTAGTTTTTAAGGTTTGGTGTTTGGTTTTTTTACAAACAAATTTCTTAAAAGCATTATTTTCAACAGGATTTATTAACAATTGCTTGAAATGTTTTTAAGTATTAATTTCATGCATGTGAGTTTTTAGGAAGTATATTTGTTGTTTGTTACAAGTAAGTAATTTTTAGCTTATTTATAATAGAAAAATTTGAATTTACACATCAGTGTGGAAATAAGAATTTTCTTGTGATTTAGTGCTTTATGATGTCACTGCACAGCTAAACAGTGTAAAATTACTTAAGAGAGCATGGGTGCATCACAGAATTATAGAGAAGTCCCTTCTATAACTCAAGATCTAGTTCAGTGAGGAGCCTTTGGGACTCCACAGACTGTTTTTGAGATGCCCATGTCAGGTGATTAATAAGAAAATCCCGAACCCACTGTGTTGCAAGTAGGTTTAAATTTTTTTCCTGGAGTCTGCCTCTAAAAGAAAACTTTGTAGGGCTCTGAGAGTCCAAAAATGGATTGACAAATGTTGGTTTACTCTCCTATCCTCACATCACAAGATTATTCAAACCGCTATATACTTTCACTTTCAGTAAGACTTTTTAAAGACAGAAGTGACCATGCAGAGGAAATAGTAGGCAGAGGCAAATGTAGGTGATATGCACTCGAAAACAACAGAGGTATAAGGACATAGAGATTGGACCTATACAGGAGAAAATTGAGAAAAACAGTTGTTAGAGTAATAGGGATGAAGTTCAGAACATTATTTGCAAAACTCTCTTCAGTTTCAGTAAGGCTGAATCAGCCTTCAATATTAAGAAGTGGAACAGGAAGGTGAGGAAGAGGTACTAGATTAAATGTTTGAGATTAAATAAAAAGTAGTACATAATCTCAAATGAATGTGACTATTTGTAAGTACTGTGAGTTCAGAAACTGGGTCAAGGGAAGGACCTGCATAGGTGCTCCACTGTCATGTAGCACACTGTTGCTCTGATAGAAAATTAGGGGTTACTGTATTTACTCTGGTTTTCTCATGAACCAGTGCTTTAAAATGTACAACAAAAAATAAAATAAAAATAAGTAAATATATACATATATATATATATAAAAAAACCTGTAGATCCATCCATTCTAATTTCTTAGGTTTTAGAAACTGAAGCTGAGTTTAACCAGGAATAATGGTAACATGCTGAACTGAGTAAAAACCCCAAGGCCTTGCCCATTCAGAGCCTTGATTTTGGGGTTCTCAACTCAGAAGTAGAAGGAATTTCCCTTTTATTTTGTCAGTGCAAGATCAGGTTTATAGACTACCGTGTCAGTTTATTTTGAATTGCAAACATATTAAGTCTTATTATTTGAAAAGTCAATCCATATGTCAGATTGTTTTAGTAAAAAACTAACTTTGCGCATGTTCTAATTTATTGCTGAGATAAACTTAGTTTTGTTGTGTTTTATAAACTGTATTAAAGAGCCGATGTTAGATTAAAGGTGTAAAATATTCTGATATGTTAATTTGCTTTCCTTGCAAGTGTGGGAGGGAAGTATGTCATAGTAAGGAAATCTTATTGTTTTGCAGTCTTTGAGTATGTAAATGTTATATAATGATATGTTACAGTTCCATAATGTCTGTGTGTTTACAAACTTATTAGACAGCACCAGTCTCGTCAGACACATACATTTACATCTATGAATAGGACTTTCAAGATGAAGTCCTATTTATAGGAATTATATGGCTACTGCTTATGCAGAGTGAGTAAAGTAATGTGAGTACACCTGAACTGAGCTCAGCAATATGACACAACAGGAAAGAAAAACTTTTCAGTAGTAATAGTAATAACGAGTTAGGTTGCTAAATCTGCAGAGCGGTTATCTTCTTACTTGTAAACACTAAACAGTAAATTGTGAGTAGTGAACAAAAACAGAACCTGAATGTTAGATCACATCTGAAATATAGCACCTTTAGCAGCATTGATACTGGTGATAAGAAAACCCTGTCGAGCATCTATGTTGCATTAAAAAAAGACATTATTCGAGACAACAGAGTGGATCAAAGCATTTTAACTCTTATAGGACAGTACTTTGTTCTGGACCCAAAGAAGATACTGTTGCCAATTGTCAATGCTATATATTTTAGCATTCAGTTAATCTCCAGTGGTACTTCTTTGAAATAATGACCCATCTTAATTAGGTATTAAAATCTACTTATAACCAACTGAATTGTGGCAATGACATTTTTCTTAGCATTTATACATATAACCATAGGGAAGATCTTGAATAGAGAAAAGTTGTCATTAGGTAGATTTAGAAATAGAGGACACTTTCCTATATAAAGGGTATCTAATTATTGTATAACATAGAATCCAGTTATTTAAGAGGCTGCTGCTTTTCCTGTGGTGTATTACAATGGTGAAAACATACTTGTGGTGGTCATTGCCTTTAAGAACTTTTTTTCCTTACAGCTGTTCTTCAGGGTCTGTGCTTGAGCTTCAAATTATGCTGCAAGCCTATTCTTACTCAACTTAACTTTATTTTGTTTTTAAAATTGCTTTGATGTGTTGCACCAGGCAAAACTTCAAAATGAATCCAGTGATTTAAAGCTGCATACATTAAGCTTTATTTTTTTAGATATCCACTCGTAACAAAATTTTTAATTTCATATTTGTTTGCCTATACTGTTCCATATGTATGAGGAAATTAATTGTGGAATTTTTATGTAACTGTTTTGTAGTAAACCATCTTGGTATTTTGTCCTTTGCACCTGTCTGTTTCACTGCTGATTTCTTCCTCTTTGCTTGATACTGAGCTATGTTTACAATTAGTTATGTTCCAAAGAAACATGTATGAAGAATGGTGAAAAGAATGTGGTAATATCTGGAGTAGACTTTAACATGCAAAACCACTATCAAGATGTAATAAGACATTTTATAACTTTATTGCCCTGCTTCCTAGCGAGCAGTCGTGGTTTTTTTTTTGTGTTATCAAGTAGACTACAATATGCTTTGGTATTTCCTTTTCTTTTGGGCATTTCCTTTTTTAAAGTAAATATGCATTTTACGTGAGTATTTCATGAAATAATATTGCTTTTTAACTGTGAAATACTACTACAATACTCTAGTGGTTATTTGAAGCTTTTGCTTCACGTTTTGTTTTTGATTAATTTAAATGGAGAGATTCTGCTTCAATTACTTGAGGGACGTTCACATTCCGTCATTCACATTGATACCTACAGGCAGGTTTTTTAACATACATTTTGTTTATGTTTGAAGTTTTAACGAGTGTGACTTCTGAACACAATTACTATGAAAAGCCGTTTTAAAAAATAATCATATTCTGGGTAAAATGTATACTTGAAAGCATGTGACAGTTTCCAAGAGAGGCATTGTCTTACAGGTCCTTTACTGTTATATTGGATAAGTCAGAAGCTGATACTGTATATTGGATAAGT